AGGAGCAGCAGGTTGGACATCCTCTGGCAACTCTCGCCAAGCCTCCAACCGGGTCCTGATCCTCTCGGCCCAGAACCGAAAAACCGTCTCGTAAGACATACACCCGTGCACGGTGTATCGGGTCTGCATCGTGACACCAAGGAGGGAACGGAATAGCTAGGCTCCGATAGCAGCTGTCTGGTACCGAGCATCTAGAGGAGGAACCGGACCAGTGAAGCGTAAGCCGGTGATCTGTGAGGAGGGGTCAATCTCTCAACCGAACCGAAAGTTCTCGCACGTCGTTCCAACCGCTCCATCAATTGCAATATCGCATAGCGGGCGGAAACGAGGCTGTGTGCGGCGCAATCCCGCGGCGTAATCCCCGAAACCATACACGACAATTTGAGCTCAATAGGAGGGCATCAGCAGATCCAGAAGGCAGAGCATTAGTAAGCCATCCGCCTGAGCGGGCATGCCAATTAACCTGTAAAGTTAAATTTCAATTTCAGTAATGTTACTAATATGATTCATTTTCTTCTATGACAGGAGAAACAAAACTCGAGTTTTGGTTTGACCATAGCCTGCGTCACGCGACTCGTCGCGGTCCACGCGGTCTACGGAGTCGCCGCCACGCAGCTTACCCAGCGCGATCGGAAGCACAGCTGCGTAGGCATTCTCAACACTTGATCACGCCATCTACAGCGCGTCAAAGGCAACTAATCTAACATAGTGGCCCCAGAACGGATGTGCGGTCACACGACCAAAGCGCGCCACGCATCTCTCTAGCCGCGTCACGCAATGTTCGAGACCTCATTCATGCACGATACAGTCCACGTCACGGCATCTGTTCTTCTAAGAACAGCTGCGGCTGAACGCAACTGTCGAAGGTATGCGCAGTTTAATATTTATTTTGTTCAATTACGTTTATCTTTTATATGTCCTTAAATCACATTTAAATAAAAAAATGATCTAAATAAAGCGTTTGTAAACGAGCTTGGGCCAGAACAGCTGCGTCACGCAACTGTTCATACAAGAACAGCTGCGTCATGCAGCTGTTCGTCCAAGAACAGCTGCGTCACGCAAACTGTTCATCAGGAACAGCTGCGTCATGCAACTGTTCATCCAGGAGCAGCTGGGTGACGCAACTGTTAGCTGTGTGACGCAACTGTTCTTCAATTTCAAGAAATGAATAAAAATAATAAAGTTTAATTTCTTCAATAAATCTGAGAATGTCCAACTATGAACAGATCACAATTTAATTAAGCTTAGAATACTAAAATGTGATTATGCATGATTTGGGGTCCTTTTTTGGGCTTATGGGTTGAATTTAAATCGGGTAGAATGTATTTTTAGGTTCGGTTTGTGGCCCGCCTTTAACCATAAGGCAAGAGCGGGTCTTTTATTTATTTATTCTCCGGAGTGTTGGCAGAAGCAGGGATTCTGAGATATTGAAGACATCTTTTCAGTTGAACAGTTCAGAGAATTTCCAATCGCTTAGGGTTTGTGAAATAAGTGACAAAGATTGAATCAATTGAGAAGGAAGTTACTTAAGTAAAACCAGCTGGCCAAAGCCCATTTTTCAACTGGGCCCAACAAGAAGTATTGGGCCTGTTATCCCTTTTCGAGCCCAACAGGCCCCACGGCCCATTTCAAAAGCTCACGACGACCCTTCCAACGAACATGACGTCCGATGCACGGCTGTATACCGGCTGCAACTTCATCAACTCATCAACTCACCGCACCGGGGTCAGGAGCGTCAAATTGCCTGGATTACCCTCAGGTAAGTTCCCTTTTAAACACTATATCATAAAGGATATACTTGAAAATACAGGTAACAGATTTTGTTAAGTCTTTCCGACCAAAATTTTTGGTAAAATTTTCACAAAAGTAATAATAATGCGTTTATAAAAAGTGAATATTTTTGGTTCTAGGCTGGGATTCCGGACTGGGGGCAAAAGTATGACCTTTTGCTTTAATAAGAATTTTTGCATGGGGACATGTGAAGTTCCAATATCTTTCTAACAGAAAGCAAGATCTGTTCGTACACGGACATTGCTCTTCTTTTTCTAGTGAACAATTTCTTTCAGGCCAACCGGTGATGGTTTTTCGAAGCCGATAGGTCCTACTGATTAGTGATGGTGCATTGCGAAGCTAGTCAGAACAATATTTCAAAACAGCGATGATATATTGCGAAGCTGTTGGGAAAATCTTTCTTCCCCAGTCAATGATGTTTGAGTTGCGAAGTTGACCAGGGTAAAATCAACAATTTTTTGGGGATTCAAACGAGTTCGAGGATGGTCTTTTCAAACATTGACTGGCAGTCCGACAAAGCGATCAAACGAGCTGAGTGTTGGCCAGAATCAAAGCGTCTTCAAGTCGATCAAACCCGGAGCTTCGAGCTTCGAAGACTTTGTCATCAAATCAACATTTTTCGGGCCGATCAAACTGAGCCTCGAAGATGCCTTTTTCAAAACCGATTGGAGCCGACAAAGTCGATCAAACCAACCGAGCTGAGTGGGTGGCCAGATCAAAGCTCTTCAAGCCGATCAAACCGAGCTTCGAAGACTTTGTCATCAAATCAACATTTTTCGAGCCGATCAAATCGAGCTTCAAGGATGTCTCTTCAGATTCCGTGGAAACCGATAAAGCCGATCAAACCGAGCTTAAGAGGTGAACAAACATTCAAAACCCTTCAGGCCGATCAAACTGGGCCTCGGAGGTGTCTTCAAAGCCAACCAAATCGAGTTTTGAAGTCATTCACAGACCAATGGGAACCGACAAAGCCGATCAAACCGAGCTTAGAAGGTGACCAGATGATTGACTCAGCATCTTTTCAAGCCGATCAAACTGAGCTTCGGGAGGATTGCCCGATAGAAGGCGCGTTAATAGACCACTTTAACATTTATCGTTTATACAATTAATGATAAAGTGGGGGGGCAAACTGCTGACGCGTGGATTTATGCCTCCACCGAACCCGATGACGATATGAGGACAAAGGATGAGGTTTCACAATAAAGCAGAAGTGCCTGAATCAGGAATTGAACCAAACCGCCCAAAAGAGCCTGACCTACGTTAGGGCTGCGTCACGCAGCTATAACCTGCGTGACGCCACTTTTAGCTGCGTCACGCAGCTCTAAGGGTCTGGACATCCCTGGCGCGCGCCGTGCAGTGGCCTACACTGTTTGTATGGATTCGCCGGCAACTTTACGAAAAGTAAGTTCGCGTCACGCAGGCTTGCGGTGCGTCGCGTGGCTTAACTACCCGCGTGAACCGACTGCCCTGTTGCCCTAGCCATTATAAATACTGGCATTACACAGCAAAAACGGACACTTTTGGCGGAACTTCTTCTCATTTTTTCTCAAAAAGACTAAGGCATTTTTGCGACTAAAAAAAAAAAGATTGCTGGCTAGGGTTTTCCTCAACGACTCCAGATGAGTAACCTTGAGGAAGATCAAGCCATTAGGCACCAATAGATTGAAAACTAAAAAAAAAAAAACAAAAAGAACATAAAAAAAATAAAGAAGGTTTTTATTAGCTAAGATTTGGGTATTGAACATTCTCATGCGACTCGTGAAGCTTCATCCTTTAGATCAACCATAACGTATGCAAATCCTCAAATCTGAGGGTTAGGTAATCATCTAATCCATTTTTGCATTTTTAGCTAATTTATTTGTGAAAATTCAATTTTCTTAGTATTTTAGTTAGTTTGAGTTGATTAAAACACATTTTGCCCATTTATTGAGCGATTCTCTGATCATTATTAAAAACCCCTGTTGATAAAAAATAACACGTAAAAGAGTAGTTGGAATGGTAGTTCACGGGACCAGAAGCAGCCCGGCGTCACGCAGCTACTACCCTTGCCTACTACCTGCGTGACGCGACTGTTCACGTCCAAAAGTCTTTAAGTCGAACTGGACCACCTGCGTGACGCAGCTATTCGCATGCCCAGAATACTTGTATATTTAATGTGATATTTTGGATGAATAATCAATGAAATTAAGAATTCAATAAAACTGAGAATATTAATAAATCGCGAATAGTTCTGCCACGCAGCTTGGAGTTCCGTCACGCGACCGTTCTTCATAGAACAGCCGCGTGACGCAGCTATTCCAATTTCCAGTAATACAATAAGAGTTGCGCCACGCGAGTGTTCTTCATAGATCACCCGCGTGACGCGACTATTCTAAAGTTCCACGATGAAAAAGGATACCCGCGTGACGCAACTGTTCTTCATGGAGCAGCTGCGTGACGACTGTCCTAAAAATTTCAGTGTATTTTCCTTATTTCACCTTAATTTTATATTATTAAGTGGGCTTTAATCTTAATTCAAAAATGATCAATCATGGGCAAATTAATCAAATTCAAATCAAACTAATTATTATTGATTCTTGAGATTTTAGATTCTACTTCATTTTGTGTTATTTTATCAATATTATCAAATTCGGTTTGTGCCCGCCCTTTAACCATAACGGCAAGAGCGGGTTCTTTTATCTTTATTTTTAGTATGTGTATATGGACTGGATGGTGGAATTGCAATATTGCTTTATTTTTATGAATGCAATGGATGAAATTAAGTGGGACGGTTAATTAATTTCCACATAGGAAACTCGGTTCGAATTACTCGGGTTGGGTTTAAATAAATTGGCTTTTTAAAATTCAAATTAAATTAGAAATTGTAGTTAAAAGAGGCGATTTCCGGGCGTCGGCTTCCAACGGGTCGACGTCGGCTTCCAACGGGTCGACGTACCCAACTCCCTTACCTAGAACCTCATCGGTTCGCCTGACCAGTTTTCTAAAACAAAAGGCCTTGAATAAAATGGAGTCACTTTTACAAAAATAAAATCAAAAACGGTCCCATTGCCGAAATAATGGGTGGCGACTAAAAAAAATTTATAAGACCGATTTATCGGCATCGCAATTCCCAAAATGATTTTTTATCACCTATTTCCAAAATCCACATATTAAATAAAATAACAAAAATTGGATTTTTCTCCGGGGGGAAAACATTCTTCAGAGATAGAATGTTGGCACAACCCCTTACCGACTTCGCTCTAGTTCAAAGAGCTGGTTTGAACATAGAGGAGTTATACAGGGAGGAAAAGAAGAAGAACAGAGGGTTTGCCAACTATCGTACCTCCTATGGTGACAGAAATGTTGGAAGTGGCAATCAAAACCAATCAGGAAGTAGTAATACAGTTAGTGCTGTCAATGAAAAGGTGAGAAGAGAATTCACCGACCTTGGAAGACCCTTGAGTACAGTGTTGAGATCATGTATCAAGAATGGAGTACTTTCAAAACTACCAGTCAATCCGGCTAAGCCTGTGCGTGGGAGGTATATGGACCGAAATTGTGATTATCATCAGTGCAAGGGGCATTCAACTGACGAATGTTCAAAAATGAGGCACGATATCCAGGATTTGATATTGAGGCACGATATCCAGGATTTGATTGATAGCGGGACAATTACCAAGCCTACGGAGAAGAATAAGCCCAGCACCAGCACTAAGAACAACCCGCTTCCCCAATACCAGTACAACTATCCGCCCCACAAGTCTCAGTCGGGTGGATCAGTCAATGCTATCGAAAGTGGCTTACCTGAAGAGCTTGTGTTAGCAGAGGCTGAGTGGGAGGAACGAACGTGTGCAATGCTTAATATTTGGGATGACTGCAGTAGCAGTGATGAGGAAGAAGGAAAAATGCCCGTGAAAATAGAAATCGAAAAGAGTATTACGGTGAAAGTGGGCGACGTGCCAGAAAATGAAGACGAGCAAATCCAGCTCGCAATTCAAAAGAGTTTAGTTGATCAAGAAGAACAGTGGTATTATAGCAGCGAAGAGGACGTGAATGAGGTAGGCGTCCAAAGCCTGACTCGCAGTGGGCGAGTCTATAATCCCGATAGCAGTATGAAGGCATTGGGAGAAGAGATTGTTGTCAATGAAGCACAGAAGAGGATAACAGAAAAAGGCGGAGAAGAGCCAAAGCAAAAGAAGAAAGAGCAAGAAACAGTGAAGGTGCAGAAAAAGACTGTTGAGGTAGGTGAAAGCAGTCAGAATAGGGCACCCAGTGGCGTGACCGCCAACTCAGTACTGAGTCAATTACAAAGAACAAGAGCAGACATTTCATTATGGGATTTGCTGATTGCATCCAAAGAGCATAGAGAGTCTTTATTAGAAGCCATGACTTTTGTCAGAGTGCCTGCTCAGATACAAAGTGTTGACATGATCAACGTGCTACAATGCAGAATTGGGGAAATCACTTTCTTTGACTCAGACCTCCCACTGGAAGGGAGAAACCACTTTAAGCCATTATACATCCAGATTGTTGTTAACGGGCGTGACACCCGGAATGTAATGGTAGACAATGGATCAGCTCTATGCGTGTGCCCTTTGAAAATGCTGTCCAAATTTAGAATTGAAGAATCAGATCTTGAACCATCAAATATGGTGGTCAAAGCCTATGACAACACAATGCGGAACGCAAAAGGCACTTTTAAAGCAAAAATTTCCATGGGGGTTGTAGAAAGCTGGGTTGACGTGGTTGTCCTTGATATCTTAGCCAATTATGCTCTTTTGTTGGGAAGACCCTGGCTCCATCCTCTAGGTGCAGTCCCGTCCACCTTGCACAGAAAAGTAAAGATTCCATGGGGTGCGGATATGGTGACAGTTAACGCGCAAGAGGATTTGAACGTTGGTGACAGTTAACGCGCAAGAGGATTTGAACGTGGCAACAGTGGAAGGGTTAGAATTGGCGGTGCCGTTATCAGGTTTTCAGGTGGCAGTGATTGACATGCCTACCACTGAAAGAGAGAGTGCAGTGAATAGAATGAGTCCTTTTTCAAGGAAGATGATGAAAAAGATGCAGTGGCGATACGGCAAAGGATTAGGCCGAGAACTCCAAGGAAGGTTTGAGCCTCTTTCGTCAGCATATGGTCAACAAGATAGGCGCGGGTTAGGATATTCAGAGAATAGGAAGAAGGAAAGATATGAGATTCGGTCTCCAGTTAGAGGACCAGATTCGAATCATATTTTCTTTGTTCCACAAGCCGCTGGAGAATTTCAGAGTAGGGGAAAGACTTACCCCGGCTTGGAAATATTCATGACAGATTATGAGGAGAAACTGATTAGGTCTCCTGAACCTTCCTTGGAACAATTGGTTGAAGGAACTGAGTTTATGGTGGGTATGATACAAGCAAGCACTGAATCTGAGTGGTCGAAGAAGATATCTGAGTTTGAAGACTTTTTGGGGATTGGGGATGAAGCTTCCAAGGCGATGCAAGAGCAGAAGGCCAAGGCAAGGATCCTCCAGTCAGTACTAGCTGCTGCTGTAAGATGCCAGAAAGGCAGCAAGAGGGAGAGTATTAAGATGAAGCTTGAAGAGGCTAAAGCGGATTTATCCCGGAAGCGAAAGAAGTACCAGAAGCTGAATGAAGCGATCCAAGCATAAAAAATACCTGTAATGAATGTATTGAGCGGGCTTCTTAACCCTGTCTTCTGGTTTTTCTGATGTTTTGTTTTGAGAACAATATGGATGGCTTTCCTCTTTTATATTTTCAATCAATGGAACTAAAATTTTGATGTATTTGTTCTCTTGTTTTCCTAATTTTCCGTTCATGCATTGATGTATATCCACGCGCATATCTTGACATAAATGCATTACATTCAATTTTACATTTTTAAAACTTTGAGAACACCGAGGATCTAAATAATCGAAATCGCGATCAGACTCTCAAACAGAACTTTAGGACAGGAAATCTTCAAGAATGCATCAAAAGAAAATTCAGAGGTTATTTGCCTGGAGCTACGCTGACATAGCCAGGAATCACAGATCATCGACAGATCAATAGCAGAACACTTCATTCCTACTGATCCAAATGTTAAACCGGTAAAGCAGAAAAGGAGAAGGGTCAGACCAGAATGGCAAAAGAAGATCAAGGCCGAGGTTCAGAAACAATTGGATGCAGGATTCTTAGAAGTAGTTCACTATCTGGAATGGTTGGCCAACATAGTTCCTGTGCTAAAGAAAGATGGGAAGATCAGGGTTTGTGTTGACTACAGGGACCTAAACAAAGCCTCGCCTAAGGATGACTTTCCACTTCCACACATAGATGTTTTAATCGACAGTGCCACCGGAATGGGATGTTATTCTATCATGGATGGATTCTCCGGATACAACCAAATATTGATGGCCTTAGTGGACAAGCACAAGACTGCTTTTACCACTTTAAACCCCCCCAAACGGGGGATTTTTTTTTTTTTTTTTTCGGGGGGGGAACCCCCTTTTTTTTGGCTTTTTTTTATTAAAAAAAAGTAATGCCATTCGGACTGAAGAACGCCGGTGGGCAACATACCCAGAGAATGGCTACAACATTATTTTCATGATATGATCCATTAAAAGCTGTTAGAAAGTATATGTAGATGACATGTTGATCAATTGACAAGATAATACAAGAAGAAAACACGCAGAATGCTGGAAAAGTTCTTTTGCCACGGGTCAAACAGTACACATCTTAAGACTCAATCCCAATTAAAGTGGCGTGTTTTGGAGCTAACCAAAAGGAAGTTGTTAGGTTTTATTGTAGGACCTAACGGGATTGAGGTTGACCTCCTGACAAATTTAACAGCCATTCAAGATATGGAACCGCCAAGAATCTGAGCTGTAAGTAAGAAGCTTCTTGCAGGTGAGAAGCTTCTTGGGTAAAATTCAGTACATCAGCAGGTTTATTTCGAGGTTATCCATCACTTGTGCTCCAATTTTCAAGCTACTTAAGAAGAATTAGCCGGTTAAATGGAATGAGGACTGCCAAAAAGCCTTTGATCACATAAAGAAGTATTTGATGAATCCACCAGTGCTGAGTTTGCCTAGACCGGGAGAACTTCTGATCCTGTATTTATTTATAAAGGATGCAGGAGATGCAGGAATGGGGGCAATGTTGGTTCAGTCGGACGCCGCTAGGATAGAAAAAGCCATTTACTACATCAGCAAGAAACTGCTGCCTATCGAGGAGAAATACGATATGATAGAGAAAACGTGTATGGCGGTAGTATGGTCAATAAAGAAGTTGAGGTCATACTTTGATTCCTTCAAGGTCACTTTTGTGGTCACTTTCATTTCTAAAATTGATCCTATGAAGTATCTTCAGAGAACACCTACTCTAGAAGGACGACTGTCCAAATGGCTAATTCAGATGTCCAGTGTGGATACAGAGTTTGTCACGAAGAAGACAGTCAAAGGTCGGCTTGTGGCAGAGTTCTTAGCTGAAAATCCCATTGTAGATGACGAGTCATGGGAATTGGAATTTCTGGATGAACATTTGTAGTGTGTTGAAACAGGGGTTTGGAAATTGTACTTCGACGGGTCAGCCAATAGAAACGGAGCCGGAGCTGGTATTGTGATAGAAGCACCCAATGGAGAGGTAAAAGATTGTTGTTTCCGGTCACCAACAATATGGCCGAATATGAAGCGTGTATCATGGGAATAGAGGCTCTTCTTGCATCAGGTGCTAAGGAAGTTGAGGTAATAGGAGATTCGTTGTTGGTTATCGAACATGCTAACGAGAGATGGAAAGTGGAAGAAGAAAGGTTGAAGCCCTATCTTGAGTACTTGTTGAAGAAGGCAGCACTCTTTGATAAGATCACCTTCACTCACATAGGAAGAATCTATAACAGAATTCCCGATGCCTTGGCAAACTTAGCATCAGCTTGGCAGGATTTAAGTAAAGTTCCAAAGAAGCCATTTATCATTATTGCGGCAAATATCCCGTGCAGCCATATTCATACCACAGCCAATTATCCCCGTTGCTATCAAGAACATATTTTTTGTGGAATCAGGGATGGGAGTCGGAGGAAGAAACCCTGGTTTACGGATATTCTGACGGTATATGAAGATGGACTTTTTCTGATGCATTGCGAACGGAGAGAAAGACCGTGCGTTCTCAGAAAAACATGGCTCTAAATTTATGTCCTGGGCCGTGGTGAAATCTATAGAAGAGCTGTTGGACGTGGATGGCTGCTAAGGTGCGGTGAGTAAAAAGGAGGAGAGACATAATGAGAAAAGTTCATGAAGGAGTTTGCGCGTACTCATTTAAGTGGCATGAGCTTAGCCAGAAAAAATCTGAGGCAAGGTTGATTTCTGGATGCGGATTGGAAGGTGACAATGTGTCAATGTATTGTCCGTTCATTGTAAAGCGATTGTCCGAATTACCATTGATAAATTAAAAGCCACTTGCTGCTCTGTCGAAACTCCAAATCCGGACAACTCCTTCTTGGCCTTTTTCTGCATGGGGCATAGATATCATCGGCAAAATTTCACGCCAAGTCAGCATCAAATGGCCATCAGTATATATTGGTTGCAGTGTGACTACTTTTCTAGATGGATCGAGGCTCAAATCTTACAAGACCTTAACCGCAAACCATATTGGCTAGATTTCATTGAACAGAACATTTTTTTTGTCGCCTATGGTATTCCTCATTCATATAGTTACAGATAATGTTCCTCATTTTTCAAGCGTGATGTTTGGTCAGTTGTTTTTATAGGTACATAAGGTTGAGCGTCACCATTCCTTACTCCTTATCGCCCCTCAGGCTAATGCGTGCGGAGAAGCTGCAAATAGGAATTTTTTAAAGAATCCTTGTCTAAGATGTGTGAAAGGTACAGAAGCCTAGGCGAGAAAGCTTCCTTTCGCGCTCTGGGCATCGCACTTTACATTCAAGTCAGTGACATCGCGAGCTTCTCCTTTCGAACTTGTATTATGGGATGGGAGGCCAGTGTACCTGTCAGAACTCGAAAAGAAGTCTCTCAGGGTTCTTGTTGAAGCTTGTCTGACTGAGAAGGAATGGGTTCAGAATAAGGTACGAGGGATCTGGCGCTTTTAATGAAGAAAGATGAACGCCTCGATTCCAGATCGATGAGAAAGCAGAAGGATTGCTCGTTTTCTACAACAAGCGGGGTACATCCAAGGGGCTTTAAGAATGGAGACTTTTTAGTATTGAATCAAGTTGTTGGCACCATGAAGCTTCAGGAACATCCTGGAGGGAAAATTCAGACCCAATTGGCACGGACCAGGACCATTCAGAGTTCAGAAGTTACTAGCTAAAGGTGCCGCTGAATTAATCACCATGGAAGGGAAGCCTATCAATCGGATTGTCAATCAGGATCAAATGAAGATATTTTATATCTGAAATGATGATTTCGGTTTTAAATAAATAAATAAAAAAATATAAAAAAAAGGAGCTAAGTCGAAAACCCGAAAGGGCGGCTTAGGCAAGAAAGGAGCTCGCTAGGTTGAAAACCCGAAAGGGCGGCCTAGGCAAAAATCAGAGCATAATAAAAATAAATAAATAATAATAAAAATAAAACTTTTGGGATTAAATGCGTTGGTGCTTCGTAAAAATAAATAAATAATAATAAAAATAAAACTTTTGGGATTAATGCGTGGTGCTTAGTTTAAATGTGAAATCTATGCCATGCATTCGTGACAGACTTGTGATTGGTTGCTCAATGTCATCCACTTGACTTGAAGGAGAATAGGTAAATGAATAGTTAGAATGAATGACCATTGTATTAAAATAAAAGTTCTTCACTTCTGTATAATGTTGAAAAGAAGTAAGATTAATAAAGGGTCTGAATTTCAAAAATTTTTTCCTTTGGTTCCGGAGTTATGGTCAAAGAATGCAAGACCTTCCTCTCTGCTTATTTGGTCAAA